AAGGTTCAGTCTCTTCTGTCCAGATGAACTGTCTTGCTATTGCAGAAAGCTTCATTGCATTAATTGTGGTTTGCCTCCCAAAAATGTAGCTAATCTTTTAAATGCTCTCATCCAAGCCACAAAGATCTCTGGAAACAAAAGATGAAAGCCATGATTCTGTACAAAACTTGAACAGAAAGCACTGGAAAGGTTTTGTGTTCACACACCAGCTTGCCGTATTGATGGAATGGACTGCAGAGTTCTGGTGTACTTGGAATTTCATAAGTGTTAAAGGCTTTATGCCCAAAATATATCACATTTCTATAGCTCAGCCAGAAGATGAGGAAGAAGCGAATAACTGTGGTTTGGTCATTGCCAGGATGGGATAGAGTTACCTCACCAAATGGAGATAATAAAAAAAACGTTATTAACAGATGTTTTCATATGAGAGCTCTGAATCAGCTCTCCAAGGCATCTAAAAAATATTCCTTAGCTGTGAAGTATAAAATGCACGTGTACCTTCACCACAAAAGCATGGCTGCAAACTGTAGGAAGATTGACCCTGCCTTGCTGAAGCAGAACATAATCAGTCATCCTACACGCATGCATTGTTAGCATTACAGATGTGAAAGCTGTGCACAGTTGGACTGGATGATCTTGGAGGTCTTTTCCAACATTGGTGATTCTATGATTTTGTAATTCTGTGATTCTATAAACATGCTGGCCAGGGCATGATTAGAAGCTTCCAGTTCTTGTATCTTTTTTGGTCTGTACACACACAGTGGTAGAGGTCTATCCCTTGCAGCATCAGTTCTTACCTGAGAGCTGACTGTCAGAATCCCCACTGCCATATGATGAATAGCAGATTCTTTATCCTGCACAGGGAGCAGGATGAATCTGTTCCTCTAATAAAGAATATTCTGGTTCTTACTCACACTGGTTATGGCCCTTGCATTGGTTTAAGAATGCCAAAAGCTATCTCTGTCACAAGCAGACACGTTGGTGTCACCTGATTAAAATACTCTTTGGTGTAATCGTGAGCCAGACAGTGGAGTGAAGGGCAAAGAGTGATGGGAGTTTTCTCAAGAACAAAGAAGAGATCTCTCGGAGAATCGAATGTGTTTAGATGTGGTACTCATACAGCTTGTTAAACTGTTTGAGAAATATGATAGGCAGTCAGAGGAGAGATGGCAAGAAAAATGCAGAAAAATCGGATACATCTCTCTGGCTGTGATGTGACTAAAGTCAGCCTCAGAGCAGAATGCAGCAATATGAACATATACCCAGATGCTGGTAGCATCAGCACTTGACTGTTAAGTGGAGGTTAAAATTGCAAATGGTTATCACATCCAGGGCAACTGCAAGAAACTGGATGAAAAGTTCATGGGTTTTCTCTTGAATTTCTTGCTCATTTCCCCAAACGTACTAGGTCTTGACAGAAGACAGCTAGGAGGCTGAGGGTTGGCCTCATGGCAGCCTACAGCTCCTCACAGGGAATGGAGGGGAGGATCAGGCTGGGGATTGGGAAAAGGTTTTTCACCAGAAAGTGGTGAGCATGGAACAGGCTCCCTGTGTCATTGGTCACAGCCCCAAGCTATTCAAGGAGTGTGTGGACAATGGCCTCAGATAAGGAGTTAGAATTTCAGGTACACAGGATACACAACTTCCTGTGTGGAGTCAGGACTTGGGTACCCTTTCAACTTGAGATATTCTATGATTCTATGCTTATTTAGCAACCAAGCTTATTTCTGGTGTCCTTCACAGAACTGTTGTCTCCCTATGGGAAGGTTCAGCATGGCCTGGATTTAGAGAAGGTAATGTATGAGCAAATGAAGTGAAGATGGTGGCTAAAAAAAGAATTTGGATTGAAGATTCAAAGCTAAGTTGGCATGGTGGAGGGACAGGAGGGCACATTCTGCAGGTCCTTACGATGCAGGTGACGTGGGATCTTTACAAACCTAAATCTGGATGCTTTCTGGATTTAGATGAACAGGTCCTGAGAATACAAAGCAGAGAAGAAATGGGAAACAAGATTCAGCCTTCAATAAGGAGTATTAAAGATGTGAATGCCATCTGTCCTTTAGTGTGACAGGCCAGCCTCTAAATCTGACAGCTTTGTAAGGCTCCAGAGACTACAGAAAATGGGTAAAGTGTAACAATACAGTCCAGCTAAGTGTGTTATTACAGGTGCCATTTTACACTTAAAGCAGAAAGTAAAGCTCTTTGACCACTTTTGTAACACTTATTGCAAAGCAGCAAGGCTGCACTTCAAATATTAGGGCTCTGAGTTCATAATTTTCAATAGCAGTTTTCCTCAGATCTTAACTGCATTTTAGGAACATGTAGCTTAACCTTATTGTCACCTTCTATCTGCTTCAGCCCCTCAGAAGGGCTCTTCTAGGTTATCTGTCTAACATTTAATCAAATTAAACCCAGCAAGGATCAGAGGAACAATGACAGGCCGAGGAATCGAAAAAAGAACATGCAGCTGCTCCTAAGGTCATCAAAGGAGAATGATCAGGTCGTTGTCCCTGGAACGTATCCAAAGAAGAGTGATGAAGCCGTATGAGGAGCGGCTGAGGGAACTGGGATTTTTTAGTCTGAAGAAAAAGAGACTCATGGGAGACCTTAAGGTTGTGGTAAGGTGGGAGTTGGCCTCTTCTCCCAGGTAAGATAGGGTTTGGAATGGACCTCAAGGATCATCAAGTTCCAATCCATACTTGCCACAGATAGGGTTGCCAGCCACTAGATCAAGTAGTAGATCAGATCATCCAGGCCCCCATCCAGCCTAGCCTTAAACACTTTCAGGGATGGGGCATCCACAACCTTTCTTGGAAACCTGTTCTAGCACCTCACCACTCACCACAGTAAAAAACTTCTGCCCGATGTCTAATCTAAATCTCCCTTCCTTTAGTTTAAAACCCTTGCCCCTGGTCCTATCACTATCTACCCAATCAAAAAGTTGATTTTCCTCATGTTTATAAACTTCCTTTAAATACTGGAAGGCAGCAATGAGGTCTCCCCACAGTTTTCTCTTTTGCAGGCTGAACAAGCCCACTTCATTCAGACTATCTTCTCAGGAGAGGTGCTCCAGCCCTTGGATCACCTTCATGGCCCTCCTCCGGACCCTGTCCAAAAACTGCACATCTTTCCTGTGCTGGAAGCTCCAGACTGGGACACAGCACTCCAGCTGGGGCCTTGCCAGGGCAGAGTATAGGGAGAGGATTATGTCCCTTGCCCTTCTGGCCACCGCTCTTTGATGGAACCCAGGATATCATTGGTCTTCTGGGCTGAAAGTGCACATTACTGGCTCACGTTAAGTTTTTCATCAACCAGGACCTCTATGTCCTTCATGTATTGTCAAGAAGGCCAATGGTATCCTGGGGGGTGGCATTAAAAAGAGTGTGGTCAAGAGAGGTGATCCTCCCCTTGTACTCTGCACTGGTGAGGCCACATTTAGACTAGTGTGTCCAGTTCTGGGGTCCCCAGTTCAAAAAAGACAGGGATGAATGCATCTCTCCTCTGAGGAACGGCTGTTCAGCCTGGGGAAAAGAAGACTGAGAGAAGATCTGATAAATGTTTATAAATATCTAAAGAGAGGTGGGAGACAAATGGATGAGGCTAGGTTCTTCTCAGTAATTTGAAGCAAAAGGACAAAGAGTAATGGCCTAAAACTTATGTATAGGAAGATCCATACTAACATGGGCTAGAACTTCTTTACGATAAAGGTTACAGCACTGGAACAGGTTACCCAGAGAGGTTGTGGAGTCTCCTATGGAGATCTTCAAGACCTGTCTGGATGCCTCCCTGTGCAATCTATTGTAGACTACCTGGTTTAGCAAGGGGATTGGACTCAATGATCTCCTGAGATCCCTTCCAACCCCTGTGATTCTGTGATTGCGTGATTCTCAGCAAGGCTTCTCTCAAGGAGTTCTTCTCCCAGTTTGTACATATATCTGGGACTGCCTCAACCCAAGTGCAAACCTTGTACTTTGCTTTGTTGAGCCTCATTAGGTTCATAAGGGCCCACCTCAGCAGATGAGGGAGAATGGCCTCAGGTTGCACCAGGGCAGGTTCCAGTTGGATATTAGGAAAAACATTGTTCCAGAAAGAGTGGTGAGGCACTGAAACAGGCTGCTCAGGGATGTAGGGAATTTACCCACCAGCCTTGGGGATGTTCAAGGAAAAGATGGATATCACACTGAGTGGCATGGTCTAGAGTGGTCACAGGCACAGACTGATGGTTGTTCTGGACGATCTTATTGGTCTTTCCAATCCTGATGTTTCTATAATTCTATTATTGTTATTGTGTGAAACCTGCTAGTATTAGAGGAGATTACCTCTTTCCCTGGAATGCCACTCAAACTAAGAAGGATTCTTCTCTAAACAGGTAAGGAGTTTTATTAGGGCAAATGGTTTTAAGTTGAGGAAAGGAAGATTTAGGTTGGATTTCAGGGGGAAGTTCTTTACAGAGAGAGTGATGAGGTGCTGGAACAGGCTGCCCAGAGAGGCTGTGGATGCCCTGTTCCCTGGAGGTGTCCAAGGCCAGGTTGGATGGGGCCCTGGGCAGCCTGGTCTAGTATTAAATGGGGAGGTTGGTGGCCCTGCATGTGGCAGTGGGATTCAAGCTTCAAGATCTCTTCCAACCTTGGCCATTCTGTGGTTCTGCAAAATAAAAATTTGGGGTGAGAAAATCTGAGGGCTGCACAAATTATATGATGGGCTGTTTAGGGCAAGGGACAAGAGGGGAAAGGCAGGGAACCGTGCAGTTACTGTGCCTACTTTTGGGCTCCGACCGCATTTAGGTGGGAGAGCACAATCTGGGCCCTGCCCTGTGCGCAGCGAGGACGGCACTCCGCGACCCTCCTGCCTCGGGACCCCGCCATTCGGCTCCGAGCCGCTTCGTGCCGCAGCGAGCCGCTCTGTACTACGCTCCCCACAATGCGGCGCGGCGCGGCGGGCGCAGCCTCACGCAGCCTCACTTAGCCCCGAGGCTCGGCCGTGCGCCCACGCCGGGCGGAGCGCCGCTCGGTCCGCTGCCATGGCCCCGGCGGCGCTGACGGCGGCGCTGCTGGGCGGCGGACTGCTCCTCGCCGCCTGGCGTTGGTTGCGGGCCGCGGCCCGCCCCGGAGCCGGAGCCGGGGCCTCCATGAGGGGCAAGACGGTGATCATCACCGGGGCCAACAGCGGGCTGGGCCGGGCGGCGGCCACCGAGCTGCTGCGGATGCAGGCCCGCGTCATCATGGGGTGCCGCGACCGCGCGAGGGCCGAGCGGGCGGCCCGCGAGATCCGAGCCGAGCTGGGCGAGCGGGAGGCGGCCGAGGGAGGCGGCGGCGAGCTGGTGGTCCGCGAGCTGGACCTGGCCTCGCTGCGCTCCGTGCGCGCCTTCTGCCACCGCGTCCTCCAGGTACGGCCTGTGCCGGGCCTTCCGCCCGACTGGCGCCGGGCTCTGTCTCCGCCGCACCCGGGCTGGGGTGGTGCGAGGTGTGGCTGCGAGTAGCATTCTGGTGCTTTGCTCTGAAGCAAGCTGCGTTGGATGTTTTCAGTTGGTCGTACAGCTCAGCCTTGTCCCTGCGGCTTGAGGCTCAGGAGTGAGCCATGCAGAACTGTGTCCGTGCTGCTGCCTCTTCTCCAGATGCACGCTCTGCAGTACCCGAGTTCAGTAGGTGGATAGTCTTGAATAGTATCGTTTCTGCACGTAGCCTGAAAGCTTGAGCGTAAGGAGGCTGGAGACGGCCCATCAATTTTCCACCTTATACAGTCATTTGGGTTGGAACGGACCTTTAAAGGCCATCTAGTCCAACTCCCCTGCAGTGAGCAGGGACACCTACAGCTCCTTCGGAGCTCAGAGCCCTGTCCAGCCTGACCTTCAGTGTTTCCAGAAATAGGGCATCCACCAGCTCTCTAGACAACCTGTGCCAATGCCTCACCATCCTAATGGTAAAAAACTTCATTATATCCAATCGAAATCTCCTCCTTCCATGAAAGGCTTTGGCTGAGATATTCATCTGACAGCATCTGGCAGTGCAGACCATGAGATGCAAAGCCATAGGAAGCCAGGCTTAGTGAGTTGTGCAGCTTGGAGAACTGCTTGTTAAGTACTTGAAAGATGTCTAGATGGTGTTGTGATAAATAAAAATTGAGAGAGACTGTGTTGCATTGACTTTTAAATAGCTTTTGTAAATTTAAAAGCTAAGTTCTGTAGTGGAGCATTGCAATCTTTCCTTCATACATTTGAATCCAATGATAAGGTCAATCTAATCTTGCTTCACTGATCTGGGAAAATATGCATGTATAGAAAATGATACAAAACATTAGAAAAGAAACACACTGCCTAACTGTTTTACATTTACTACATAGTATCCGGAAATGTAAATTTATTACTGTCCCTTTATCAGCAAAGCCAATAGAAGTGACTGTAAATGATAAATGGTCAGAGAAGGAGAAAGCAGCACTGCAAATGCATGCACTGATAGGCATTTTAACCTTCATTTTCTAATTAATCCCAAAAGCAGCTGCATGAAAAGGAATGTAATTTCAAGAAGCTGTTATGTCCAAACTCATACTAATTGTCCTCTCCGAACTTGTGATTCTTTATTGCACAATTTGTTTTATTTTTGTAGTTGCCGGGTGGATGGTTATTGTGTTTTTTTTGTGTGTGTATGTTTTTGGAGTCTAAAAAAATTGTCAGGATAGGGTGAAAAAGACTTAAATATTTTTCAGGGTGAGGAAACACTGCATTCCCACAGCCTAACTTTGTTTGTGGGAGCTTTCCATTCTGAAAGTACAGGTGATTACATCTTTCACTCCTTAACTTAATTGAAATAAAAAAAAAGAAAAAAAAGAAAAATGGAGGACTTAGAGATGTTGGGGGGCTCCAAAGAAAAATGGAGAAAATGGAAGCAACCTCAGAAGGTACAGAGAATAGTATTGCCCATCAAAGCGATGTTTTGTAATTTGTTATGCGCTTGATCATAGTAGCTACTTAGCATTGTTCAATTACTTGAGATTATTAAATGTAGGAGTTTCAGAATATATCACAAGTGGAACTTCTTCTTGAAGTGTTAATTCCTAATTTGTAGCATCTGATCAGATGCTACATAAGGCTTATAGAACAATGTTTTCTAAAGTAAAGAAATGCTAGTTAGCAGATCTACAGTATGTTAGAATTTCAGGCCTGTCCTTGCCTACTGATAGAAACCATTATGTGTTTTTGGGTGAAGAGAATTGAATTTGATGCTCTTTGATAATGCCTCAGGAATTGTGTAAAACAATACTGCAGAAATCTGAGGCTGAAGTGCCTCTGAAGTGCATGATCAGGTGCCAACATCACTAAACAATGACAAGAGCAAATTTGGATTTTGCTCTCTGAGCATCTTTGCAGGTGATAGCAGTCAAATGAAAATAAACAGTATGAAATTCATCTTCAGATTCTCTGTTTTTATGATTAACATGACCCAAAGTGATCTTTTGTCTGTCTGCTGGCTGCACATTGTTTTTAAAGAATTGGCAGTAAAGGAAACGCATCCTGCTTTTTCTGTTAAGTAAATGCATTTGCTTCTGAGTCATGCAAGCATGGATTCCTGTGATACCTTCACATTCTTGTCAGACAAGGGTGAAAGCACTGAATTTGGAGTTCAGGTAGGCAGCTTAGTCTGATCTATTTTATTTTTTTTAAAGCTGCTGTTTGGGGTAAATTGGAAAGCTCTTAGTTTTTGAGTGGGTGCTGATACATGAATGTATTGTAAATTATGTTTGAATTATCTGTACCACTTTCTGTGTTAATTATGTCAGTTTCCTGAACGATCAAATAGCACGTGCTGAGCATATCATAAAAATTTCAAGCCCCAGTCCTGTAGACATATGTTCTTGAGTATTCCTATTAGATTCAACTTGTTGTATGAAACTTGCTGAGATTAATAACGTAATGAACTCTACTTTTCTGTCATGAGCTCTTCTCTATACTTTGCACTAAACATCACAATAAAATGTAGTAATTTTAAGACAGCGATTAAAGCCATGAAAATATTGTTTTGCAAAGCTTTTTACATCATCTCCACAGTGAGATGATGGATCTACAATTTGACAGTTCTCTTCAACAGTAACATTCTTTTGTGCCATATCTGCACGATGTTTTTATGGTAGAATCCTTGCCCATGACTGAGGTTTGTCAGAAACTATTATGCATTAATGTATGTGCTTTTGCAAGTGAAATAAACAGGTTACTTTTTAGAAGAAAACAAATGCTTCACAATGATAAACTATCAGCCTGGAGGTGATTGTGTTGTCTGCATACATTAAAAGTAAATACAGACCTGCTCTGATGTACTGGAAGCCTGCTGGAGTTAAATATTCAGTTTAGTGGTAGTAGTGGTAGTTTAATTTTTTTCAGTAATGCTTTAGAAACTGTTGGAAAGTTACCATTGGAACTTCCAGTTGGAAAACTGGAAGTGATTTCCCTCTAACAGTATATACTGAGAAATATTAAGCATAATAGTATGTTTCGCATGACAAATGATTATGAAACTAATTATTTTTTTCTTTCCTATTTAAAGGAAGAGCCAAGGCTGGATGTCCTGATAAATAATGCAGGGATATTCCAGTGTCCGTACATGAAGACAGAGGATGGCTTTGAGATGCAATTTGGTGTAAACCACTTGGGTCACTTCTTGCTCACCAACCTTCTTCTGGGCCTCCTCAAAAATTCTGCTCCGAGCAGGATTGTGGTAGTATCCTCAAAGCTATACAAGTATGGAGAAATCAACTTTGAAGACTTGAACAGTGAAATAAATTACAATAAAAGCTTTTGTTACAGCCGGAGTAAACTGGCTAACATACTATTTGCAAGGGAGCTAGCCCGTCGTTTGGAAGGGACAGGAGTCACTGTCAATTCACTTCATCCGGGTATTGTCAGAACAAATTTAGGGAGACATGTCAATATTCCGTTACTGGCAAAACCCCTATTCAATTTGGTGTCATGGGCTTTCTTCAAAACACCTCTAGAAGGAGCCCAGACTTCTATTTATTTGGCCTCTTCTCCTGATGTTGAAGGTGTGTCTGGGAAATACTTTGGGGACTGCAAAGAGGAGGAACTTCTGCCCAAAGCCATGGATGACCTGGTTGCGAGAAAATTGTGGGATATAAGTGAAGTGATGGTTGGATTATTGAAATAAGCGCTAGGGATTATCTGATAAGAAAAATGCAGATAACTATGCAATACATATTTGGAACTAATTCTCACATTAAATGTTGTGAGAACACAGATCTACGCTTATAAACGTTTGATAGAGGAGTAATTTATGCTGGAATTCTGTTTTAAAATAATCTTTATTTAATAAGCACAAGCATTCGTGAAGAACCTGAAATAGAGAATGTAACTTCTGACTAAATCTGTTCAGAAAGTCGTGTTCTAAAATAAAAATTAAACAAAACTGTGTTCTGCAGTAAATGTTGCCTATTTGTCATGTTCTGCTACTTTTAGTCATGCTGGACAGTGTAGGGTGTTGATGGTGAAATGCTCTTCCTGTGATATGGTTTTAAAAATAGAACCTAATACTAAGATCTGTCTTTTTGAGCCATCATAGTGAAATCTAGAGCACAGTTTTACTGGTATCTTATAATGTAATCATTAGGCCTCATGAGTGCCATTCAAAGACTTGTCCACTGAATGCTTCCATGAACAAAACTGTTGAGCTGTGTACAGTTTAGCTATGAAGTACGAAGTTACTTTTTGAGAAAATTGTAACTGCTGTTCAATGAATACATACACTTCATTGTGCAAGCTCCATTTCTGTTTTCATATATGCTGAACTTGCTGTTTCTAGATATTCAGATGCCTTGGGTTTCATTAAAAACATAGTTGACATGTCTCAGTAGGACTTTGCATGAGTTGAGTCCATGCAAAGTTTTCAAGACTTCAATCAGATAAGACTGAAGAGAATATGCTTCTTCATATGTTTGGATTGACTGCACTTGCAACTCAGTAGTGAGATTAGGTAAGTCTGACTGATACAGCTTAATGAATATTCTTTAATAAAAATCTTAAAAAGAACTTAGCATTCATTCTTTCACTGTGGAAGATACAACCAGTAGTCTGTGTACATACCAGCCATGTTTACAAGGTAGAAGACTCACCTGTTTTACTTTACGGAGTTTCTGCCACATAGAGGTAGAAATAAAATAACTGTATGTATACAAACAATTAAATGGATGTTAAGTGAAGCTGTACTGATTTTTTAAAAAATTCGCGTAATTAATGGGTTCATATTGGCATTTCCTTTTTTGGATGATTCAGTCCAAGGCCTCTTGGATTTTTTGGGGCTCAAGAGCATCTGAAAGCATGAAGTCAGGCTGGTCCACAGCAGCATGACCCAAGTCTGCTCCATGCAGTAGAGTGCTGAGGGTCACCTGTGAAATGCAGCTGCCTTCATCTGCCGTGATGTAAGTTCAGGAGCTTTACCCGTGAGGGGGCAAAGGGGCCATCAAAGAGCAGCCAGGTTCTGTTGCTGCAATGGCAGCAAGGGAGTTGTTGTGCCAGGAGAACAGAGAGGCCCCTGAAGAGCACCCAGCTCCCACTGCCTCGAGGGGAGTGAGGGATTTATCGCTCCTAGAGGACAGGGAGACACCAGGAAGTTAACTACTTACTGTGTCCTTGAGCACTGAAGCACTGTGGAGGTCCGCGGCTGTTGGTAGAAGAGATAGAGAACAGACTGAGAGACTCTCCCTGATGGAGCCATGGACATGTGGAGCCAGGGGGTGTCTTTGTACGGCATGCTGCTCACCTCTGTGATTCTCTGCATTGCCTCTGCAGCTGTGCCTCCTTGGCCTCCCACCTATATGGGCACAGAAAGCGCTGAGTGAGAGGGGAGCATCCCCAGCAGCCTCAGCAGCACTCTCCAACCCAGGGCACAGCCTGGCCAGGCCCCGTTGGGACACAGCCTCTCCTCCCAGGCAGGGCCTCCAGCCCAGCTCTGGGGATGGCCCTGGCCCCCACCGACCCCCCTCCCTGTGTTGCAGTGCCTGGCTCAGCACCAGCCCTGACTCCTACCTTCCGCTTCCACAAGGCCATAATGAATACAAATAATGAAATGATTAGCATGACCCAGAGGATGGGGTAAAAGATATCGTCATCCTCCTAGCTGAGGAAGAAGCTCATTCCCCAGAAAGCAGCCATGTCTGCGATGTGCAGAGAGCCAAGCATTCAAGCTCCTCTTTTTGGATCTCCTCATGGGCAAAGTGGCACCCAGCCTCTGCCCCGAATTTGGGGTTGTCTCCTTTGTGATGTGGGTTGCCATGTCATCAGCTGGGGGCTGTGGCAAAGTTTGTGATACAGGAACAGTGCTGTGTGGCACAGTGGGGCCAGCTCAGCACAGCGGGGCCATGGCTGGCCCATCCCTGTGCAGGGCCATGAGAAGCCTCTGCCTCTCACCAGGAAGGACTGAATCCCGGACCCTGTGCTGTGCTCCCACTTTTGAGAGCCCATGAAGCTCTTGTTGGCTTTGATGAGTCCAGCAAGGTGATGATGGCCGTTCTGCTGCTGCTTGCTCTTCCCTGACATTCCCTTTTCTGTTGGAGTCTCTTCCTATCCTCAGTAGAGAGGACCATCTTTGCTTAGTTTATACTTTTTTTTTGAACCACAGGGAACATTTTTCCCTTTTTCTGGGAATAAAATATACGGAATGTCTTTTGCAATAACTTTGCATACATATTCATTGTGGTTCATAATGGCAGGTGATTTCTCATAGCATTTTTAATCATAAATTTTTATGAATCACAGAACATTTTCCCTTGTAATATTAACAGGGTCGACATCTGGTATTGAGATTTATCCTGCTGAGAAAGATCTAATGCACAGAGTTTATTGTTACTTAAAGACTGGAGATTGCAGAGACAGCCTTTATAGACACTCCCAAGCTATTTATACATCTTCCACAGCTTCTTTCCAAAATTTTTGTACTATGGATTTCAGTTCACATAATTCATGCGACCTTTTCTTTTTCCTTTTGTATAGTAGTTTAAAAGACAAAATACTTACTCCAAGAAAGGAATGGCTCACTGTTCTATATAATTGAGAACAAAACCTCTTCCACTGGTCTCCATAAATGTTCAACAGGCATCAATGAATGTCAATAGGTGTGATTTTGTCCACAAGAAGGAATTCAGTGACACACTTCTGCTTCATCTGCACTTCCATGTCAGATGCCATTCTGTCCCATGGCTCCTCTGCTTCCATCTGTCACACAATAACAACATGTAACAGAATATTGGTGGGAAGGTGCAAGGTCTTCTGCCATCCCACCAACATCCACCTCTGATGTTGTGGGCCAACATCATAAAACAGGAAGCACTTATTTCGGAGCACTCTCGTACAGTGCTTTACCTTTTTAAGTATTACTCAAGGGAAAGAATATTAATAATACATTGTTATATTCCATAGATCCTTTTTACATACCTTTAAATACATAAATCCAGGTAGCAGCCTCATTTTTGAGATCCTTTCTTTGGTTGTTTACTCAGCCTCCAGGCATGCTTGAACTTAACTCAAGAGGGCTTTATTTATCCTTACCTTTGCCAGCACAAGCCTAGGCTGAGTGATTGGGTGGGAGAAGAAGCGTTCTTGAAAACCACAACACAAGCTATGAAACCAAACAGGTTTCTAAGATCCTCTAACAGGCTAACCTTTGTTCTCCTCATTGTAAGGAGAGGTGTGGAGATGGGTGTACTGTCAAAACATTATCTGAGTGTTGTACAAAGTTCTCTAATGCTAGAGAGAGACTTGCAAAATGCATAGAGAAGATTCTTCTCTGGTCTTTGCATTTCATATTTTTGTTATAAATACTTGTAAATAGCTGTATGTAGAACCCTTGAAGCAGCTAAATGTGTTCACTAACACATCTGATGTGCAAGATAACAGCGAAATGAAATGTGCCATGAATTGCAGGTTGTCTCAAACCAATAGAATATGATGTACTTCACCTGCCAAAAAACAAGGATGGAGATAAAAGCTGAGCCAAACTCGGGTTTGTGTTCTCAGTAGTACTGCTGTAGCAATACTGAAGTAATACTTCTGTTTTGTTTCAGTGCTGGAACCAATCTGCTTCTCTTAAAGGGAAAGCCTTGGGTAGGAGGTGAAGAAGATGACTAATCTAGAAATACAGTGGTAAAGAACTGCCCTTTTTTTAGACTGCACAATCAGCATATGTTGTACAGAGAGCACAAAAATAAGAGGCATAGAATTATATACACCACCTGTATAGTATGATTGTATAAAATGCAATGTCTTATACATCTACCAGTTGTTTTATCTTTGAAAACACTGCAGAAATACAAGCCTTTGTCAGAAAATGATTAAATTCCTGGAATCACATATTCCACATAAAGCCCTTGTTCCAGGGTAGAGAAGTAATTCTGTGATAGTCTTAATGAAATATAGTATGCCTGAAAACATTTTGAAAAGATGGATTGTTAAGTTTGTTGTATCAACACATCAGCTTTTTTTTTTTTTTTTCCCAGCATCCAACTTTATTAATATTTGTCACCTTCAGAGTCTAGTGTAATTTGTCTCTATGCACCAAAAAGATTTCATTACTCTCTTGAGACTGCTGCTACTCTTTATATTATCTTATATGATATTTTTGTTACTGCAGTAGCATCTAGGATTTTGAGACAAATCTTGCAAAATGTATGCAAGTACAAAACAGAAGATCTCTTATGTGCAGTTGGTACTGCTGATTCGAACTAGTCTGGAAACAATTTGGCTTAGAAAGTATACTATGCTATGCTATGCTACGCTATGTAGAATCCTACTAAGTTCAGACATTTGTCTGTGATTCTGTGATTCTGTGATTTGTCTGGTAACTTTTCCTGGAGTTGCTAGAGCAATCAGTATCTCGTTCCAGCCTATTCTCACTTCACCTCAGTATTACACTGCCTCCAGAAGGATGTGGAAGCTTTACATGTTACTGTTCTGTGAACTGATAAGGAATTGTCTGATGTCATAAAGCCAAAACTGGGACATATTTTGGGTGCTTCCCTCCACTCTCAGCACCATATGAGCACCACTGCTGTCAAATTAATCTTATTTCTCATTAAGAATTAAACTTGGAAAAAATAAGAAGTGAAAGAGGTAGACAGTGGCCAGGGATAAAATGTAAAGACCAGGGATGAACAACCTTCACAGGTAGGTACTGAGGATGATCACATTGTTAATAAGTACATTACAGATATGCAAGAAAGCCACAGCTGAAGTTAAACTTTTGTAGAGGTATTTGATAAACATAAATTTTAAATCAATTATTTCAAAAGCCAAAACTTACCTTTAGCTATCTTGTGAAAATTATTAGAATTTAGCATTTGATTGATCCACCAGCACTGTAAGACCGGCATCCTGTACCTGTGCTGGGATGCGTTCAGGGCATCCTTGTAAACAACTTCCCAGCTTCCCTTGTGGATAGAACAAGAGTTTGAGAAAGGAACTTCTAATTCTTTTTTTTTTTGTTGTTTGATTCTGTCGCAGCCCTTAACTACAAGCCAGCCCTCTGCACACACTTAGCTCTTGTAAATGAGGTTTCTGCAGGCAAGATAAATTGCAGTTGCATGTATTTATTTTATATGCTACATCTGTTTAAGTAAAGAGAGACTTATGTACTTTTTTTTCTTCTTCTTTTTTTTTTTTAAAGTATTCTCTCAATAATTTACCTTCCTTACCTTGCCACAAAGACCAACATCTATCCTAAGGGACAACACTGCTCTTTCAGGCACTAAAACACAAGCAGCAGGCAAGCTTATAAACCCAATAGGAGTTCTCCAGTGAAAATACTCCCTCTTAATGAGATAAATGATCAGTTTTCCATGATGCAATAAAAACAGAAGTATTTAAGTTCTCTCCTCTTTCTTCATGGTTGTCCAGTTTGCCTATGCTTCCTACTATGTGAATGCTTCACAGGCTTCAAAGCCTGACTCCTGTGAGTTTGTGGTAGGCTTATGCTTTTGCTTAAAAATGTGGATAATTCCCATCTTAAGTGCACTTAATTTCTTTCCACCTAAGGCTGTAAAGAAAATAAACAACTTACAAGAGTCACACAGATAATTTTAAAATGGGAGGCCTGCTCCCTTTTTCACATAACTTTTTCCAAACTAATCACTTGTAAGGTAATTGACTTGCAAAGAGATCCAGGAGGGCTACTGAGTTGATTTTTTCTTTTTGATGTGTCCCAGAACGG